TCCTGCTGACGGTCTCACTAAGGAAAGGACAGTGCTTCCTGAACTGTCTCGAGACCTAACTCCTCCGAAAAACGTGGAAAAGCCCTGCAGCCTTGGGGTTAAGGCTGCGAAGACCCCGACACCGTCTGCTCGAGCCCACAGTGGCCCGTGGATGGCAGGAGCGCCAGCCACCCAGGATTTTAGAGGCAGGCACCTTGGCCTCGCCCCCGGGGGTTCCCGCTTTGTGGGCCGGAGATGGGGCTCAGAATCCACATGATAAACCAGGAGCCCAAGACCACACTTGAAATACGGTGCTCCAAGTGCCCATTGCTCCGGGTTGAAAACCTGAAGTACGAAACTCACACCTGCCATAGTTTATTGAACGGAATGGAGGTTACCGGAGGGGAAGGGGGCTGGAGAGAGGACAGAAAGGGTCAAGTATATGGTGACCGGAGGAGACCAGACTTTGGGTGGTGAGCACTCGATGGAGTACACAGATGTTGTATTATAAAGCTATACGCCTGAAATTTACATAATGTTAACTGATGTCACCCCAATAAATTTAATTTAAAAAATAGCTCTGTTAAAATCTGTACAAAAACCAGATGACCATAAAGAAAAATCACTCATAAATCCACCATCCACAGAAAAGCGTGGACTGACTTTCTTATGTATAAACTGCCAGATCTATATTTACATATATATTTATGTTTTCCTAAAATTGGATCATACTGAACCTTTTTCTAAGAGCCGAACACCACAGGTGCCATTTCAGGTCCAAGACACAGAATGTAAGCTCCAGAGTGTCAGTTTCACACCCTGACAAATCCCCTAGCACAGGGACTGGCACTTAGTAGATGCTCAATGAATGCTTGCTGCCTGGAAGCCAGCGAGGTTCTGACACGTCACAGAGGGTGGCAGCCTGCGTCCCATGGTGTGGCCACGTACAGTGCACTCAACCAAGCCCCCTGGCTAGATGCAGACACTTCCTGATTTTCACTCTTATAAACAATGATCTAATGGACATCAATTTTCCTAAATCTTTGTACGCTCTCTTAATTATTTCCTTAGCTTACTTGGTTATGAGTAGAAGTGATGACTCAAATGTAATGACCATTTTAAGGCCTTTGACCCAATTTGCCAAAGTCCGCTAGAGACGCTGCACCTAACACACCCACATGGATTCCTTGTTAGCAGACCTTCCTAGGGGCTGCCGGCTCCCTCTTGCCCTTCAGACATCTTATTACGGAAAAACGCAAACGTATAAAAACTAGGGGATCGTATCCCCGATCCCCATGTATCCGTTCCCCAGAATCACCAAAGAACAATGGCCAGCTTTGCTTCATCTCTACCCATTGCTCCTCCTCCCGCATTTTATTCTGAAGCTAATCCCAGACATCGCATCAATTCATCCACAAATAGCTTAGTTTTGTCTCCCTAAAAGATAAGAACTCCTTAAAAAACAAAACAAAACCAAAAAACCGCCACCACAATGCAGTCGTCACAGCTCAGATATCAACAAATTAGTCCTTGGTATCTTCAAAGAGAGTGGTCTGTGCTAGGAGAAAAATAGGTTTGTTACTAGGAGTGGGGGTTACTTTAGATAGATAAAGTGGTCAGAGAGGGCCTCTCTGAGGGGGTGGCATTTGAGCTGAGATCTGAAGGACAAGCAGCAGCCCCCATGGGAAGACCTGGGAACATATTGACCTCAAAGGCAAAGGCCCAGCAGGGCGCAGGGGGAGGGCTGAGTCTGAGAGCCAGCCCTACCTACTCCTGGCTGCCTGCTGCCTGATTTAATGCATTTTTTCTTTCCACGAAGCCAGCTTGAGATGGCTTTCATCACCAGTCCCAGAGCAGGCAAGGTTTTCTGCCCACACATTCTATCAGCTGGCACACTCTGGGGCCTTCCTTGCTTGATCCTCTTCCCACATCAGGCAGCCGAGGGGTCCATGCTGACTGCAAGCATGTGTGGATCGCCACCTTGGGACGACAGGCTGCCCTTACACAGAACCGTGAGGAGGAGGAGCCCACCATCCAGAGTCACCTCCATTATAATCGGACATTTGCATGAATACACGGGGTCCTGTTGCACACCCAGACGTGGCTAGAGGGGGCATGAATGGGCACAGACCCTGCTGAGACACCACCGGGTAACGGAAAGCAAACGGCATCGACATCACAGGCCTTACCGTGATGGTGAAAAACAAGAAAGAACAGACATTATCCATGAAAAGACGATGCCTGAATACAGCATGGCAGAGCTGTCACGTGCCTCCAACCACTGGAAAAATTGGGCACAAACTGTGGCTACGTCATGAGGCCAAGCACAAAACTCAAACGGTAAACTGTTATCTATACAGTGAAAAAATGACTTCTGAAAAAATGACAGACAAATGAGAAACCCGATTTGCTGGGGGGCGGGGGAGGGGCGGTGGCAGGTCATGGAGAGACGTACTCTTCTGCTTGGATTTCTGGCTATTGGAGAGCAGAATGTATTTTAAGAAGTGACAAGAAAAGCCTTCTGGATGAGAAAGGTGAGCTCAGGTGGGGAGATTAAAAAAGGTAACCGGTCCTTGCAGGATCCAGGGCCGGGTCTGCTTGAGCAGACAGGCCTCCCAGGCCCACTCTGTGCACACGTCCGAAGGCCCTGAGTGTGCGTGCACTCCCGCGAGGAGGTGTGTGCGATTTTCTGCCGGCGTGCTCTGAGGTGCCTGGAGGCTCAGTGGGGAGATGGCTCAGGGAGGGGGCATTCGTGGGTGTGAGGGGCTCAAGCAAGAAGACGGGACGGGGTAGGGGAGGTGGCCCAGGTCACCAGACCTGATCAAGCCACCTGCAGACTTGTTCTCACGGTGCCACGTGATCGAGGATGAATTCTGACTCTGCCATCCCTCCCTGTGGGACCTTAGGTGATTAGCTCCGCTAAGAACAATTATGTGACAGTCATGATAACAGGAATGATGATCATAGCAGGTATTCACTGAGCACGTATGGTACGCCTGGAGCTGCCTCATACTTTCCCTGCAGACAAGCCGCTTTTCTTCCCTTCTCTGTTATATGGGGACAATTCCAGCCTCTTCACAAGCCCGCTGTGGGCCAGAAGCACTGACAGCTTGGCTTACAGTGAGTGCTCGTACATGTCCCTTCCCCTCCCCCACTCCCCTTCTGCTGCCCGGGGGGAGCCCACCACCAGAGGCTCTCCCCAGCTGAGGTACGTACGATTGGAGGTGAGCCTGTCTGCTCCCCCGAGAGCGTTGAAAGCTCCATGGACGTTCCGGACCTGTGGAGAAGCACAGTGAGGGCACTGACCTTAGGATGCCACCGCCTCCAGATCTGGCTGCGAGGGGACAGCCAGGTGCAACCCACGTAAAATGGAGGTCCATTAGGGTCTGTCTTGTAGACAAGTTGTGGGGGGCAAGATACAGACACAGCACAGGCTTGGCGCGTGGTAGGCACCAACTTCCCACCTTGGGCAACTACTACGTGCCACTCTGCCCCGGGAGACACATTTGATGTCCCTGATGATGTACCATTTGGCCCATTTTCCAGAAGAGCATTAGGTTTGGAGAAGCATGGACACTCGTCCAGCATTCCACACTCATGAACGGCTGAGCCAAACTAAATCCAGGTGTCTGTCTGACCCCGAGCCTGGTCTTTTTCCATTAAGCCACAAAGAAGACTTAAGCAAAGGCAGATCTGGGGCTCGGCACGGTCCTCCTGAGACGTCCACAGCTCTCTGAAAGGGGACCCAGGGTGGCTGGCCTCCCACCCTGTCTGCTGCAGAGAACACATGACAGTTATAAAGAGACCGCTCCTCACAGAAGCTGGCCTGGATGTGACCGCTGGCAGAGGCTGCTGAAGGCCACACCCCATCTCTTCTCTGAGGGTGATGGGAAACCAGGTCAGCCTCAAGGAAAATCTAAAGCAGGATACGGCACACCAGATACACTGCTGAGCTAGACACCCGGGCTGCTGAGCTAGACACCCGGGAGAACTTCCTGGAGGAAGTGACATTGACATCAAGATCTGCAGGAAAACGGGAAGCTAATCAGGCAAGCGATATGCAAACGCATGAGCCTGGAGACTAAGGAACAGACAGAGGCCCGTGTGGCCTCAGAAAGGAGCTGGGGGTGAGGAGTGGGAAGGAGGGAGGTGGCCCGTGTGGCCTCAGAAAGGAGGTGGGGGTGAGGAGTGGGAAGGAGGGAGGTCAGGGAGGTAGATGGGGACCGACTTCAGGAACAGTGGCAGCCTGGGTGACCTGACCCCTTATCTTGGCCTCAGGTGGCGGATGTTGATCGAGCACTTACCAGAACCGCACGCTCTCAACAAGCCCAAAGGGAAAGAAAGTTTGTCCATCGCTGCCTTGGGATTGACCATCTAAAGACTTGGTTTCCAACCCAAGAGGACCCATCTTGGGCAACTACTATGTGCCACTCTGTCCTAGAATGTTCCCTCCCATCATGTCACGGCTTTATCTCACATTCATTTGTGTGACTGACTGTCTGATTAACTTCTGTCTTCCCTTCTAGATGGTGAATTCCACACGGGTGGGAACCATACACGTCCTCGCCAATGTGTACACAAGGCCTGGCACACAGTAGGTGCTCAACGAATACTTGGTGCATGGATGGATGGATAATGGATGGGTAGATGGACCCTCGGCTAAGTTTTTTACATTGAAAGGAAAATCCTATTTCTACCCGAAGAACAACAAAGCAGAAGGCTGTTACCGTCTTCTTACTGGGTTGGCTCGGTGCTTGCTGCAAGGCCAGGGCTTGTTCTGTCAGTGGTACACAGCAGGGCGAGACTGCTCCCAGTCCCTCCCCAGGCCATGCTCCCCTCTTCTCCCCGCCACCTGCCTCCGTCCGGGCCCCGTCTCCCCTGGCTGCAGCTCTCCGCTCACCTGCCGGTTACGTCCCCCTCTGAGGCCTGATCCCCTTTGGCTAATAGTGAGTGAGAGCATCTACTTCATCGTGGCGAGGGGTGGAGAGGTCAGAGGATGTCGAAGGTCCCCTGCCTGCCCTTGACACAGATCGGGTGGTCAGTGTTTGGTGCCTTTGTGTTGCTGGCATGACAGGAAATCGTTGGGCTGGGCCTGCTAGAGGGGGCCCTTTCTATCATGATAATGGCAAGGACTCTCAGGATACTTCATTCACAGTGCTACCCCTATTTAGTGCACGTGGGCGCTGAGCAGTAAGGCCGAGGGGGCCGTGGAGAGAGTGGGCTGGACTGTGGAGTTGGACAGATCTGCTGGGGGACCCTGGACGAGGGGCTTCTCTGGGCCCAGCTCCACGTCTGAAAATGCAGGGCCCCCTCTCATCTCATAAGGCTGCAAAAATGACATAGAGAAACCACTGACGCTTAGTCCTTGCTCATGAAAAGCAAGTCCCTTTCCCCAGGCCCCAGGTCTCAACCCCAGGTTCCGAGGTCAGAGCGCAGCTGATGAAATGGTAGCTTCCTTCAGAAGTAATAACACAGAGGGTCGTGTGATGGAGCAGAGGCTCAAAGCGGGTGACTCCCTCTGGAGGGCATCCCTCTGTGCCAGGGGAAGACAGAAGACACAGCCCTTGTATGTCCACCCCCAGCCATGCCGCCCTGAGCGGGCCCCACTCACCTGTAGTGTGTCCCCAAAGGAGAGCTTGTGGATGACATGGGTCATGTCTGGGTTCTGTGGCTGGGCCGTGGCACTGTGTGTGGACACGTGGAAGTTGCCTGGGACCTGGGAAGAGAAGCAAATCCCAGGAGTTTGGTGGGCCGCCCCAGAGGGTGGGGCGCAAGGCTTCACCCTGGAGTCAGACGGATCAGGATTTGGACCCCAGCTTGGCCCCAGCCACCGGACTTTGGAGCAGCCATTGCCCCTCTCTGCACCCCAGGCTCTTCATCTGTAGCACGGGGCGCAGACAGTAGCTTCCCGAGGGGGGTGCAGGGGCTCTGGAGGGGGAGCATGCACGTAAAGAGCCCAGCTCGGTGCTTGCTGCAAGGCCAGGGCTCGAAACGGCAGCTGCCCACCATCAACCTGCTGGCTCTTGTCCCCACGGTGGGTTGGGGGATGACCTTTAGGCCTACAGGCCAACAGAGCTTCCTCGAACTCCAAATCAACACTGTCAGCCATCAGAAGGAGCGTGGCTTACGGCCTGGCCGTGGTCCATCAGAGTCTGCCTACTTTGTAGGGACGTCTGTTTTAAACACACAGTTGTGGACTGCTCACGGGAATATTCCTGTCTTCGCTGAGACCCGACGCGGGGGTTCCTGGCCGACAGAACGTCACCCAGCCTCAGCGAGCTCACAGTCGAGTGAGGTACAATGGTGGGCCCTGGGCCACGGGGGTTCGGACGAGGGGGGAACCCACTGGGTGGGGGGCGCAGGAATGA